GCATTTATCTGAGGTCTGTAAGTTCCTTCTTGTGCCGATCCAGAATCAGCCCTCTTTGAGGCTTCAGAAGCTTCCCTTTCTGCAGCTTCTTTAGCTGCTCTTCTCTGAGCTTCCAAAGCAGCTCTTTTTGCGTCCTCTGCTCTTTTTGCTTCCTCAGCTCTTTTTGCCTGCATACAGAAAATTCTTTCTTTTTTAACTAACTCAGTGAAAATCTACCTAACAGTTCCAGCATATGCACCACAGTTACTTTCTTCTTTTCTTTTCTTTTTGGAAAAAAAAATTATATTGGCCAGAGCTATCAAGATCACCATAGAAACGATGTCTGGGAAGTGGGAACCAGTTATGGGGTATCAAAGACAGGATACATGCCTAAAGAGGAATTCAGCATGAATTCAAGGAAAGAAAAAATTTGCATCGCAAATGAGTAGAATTAGTTAACCAAGATTGATTGAGATAGCAAAGGTTAGTAGTCAAGCATGTAAGACAAATGCAATGAAAAGCATATACAATGAGCAAGTTGGGGTGGAACCCTGGTTTTACCCAAAGTTCACTGGAACAGCTTTTACTTCAAATGCAATTTTAAAACAAGAAAAACCTTTCTGACGCATCAACAAAGAATATCTAAAGCAGTAACATAATGAGGCCATTGCATGCACCATATCTAGAAAGAAACTAACAAACAAAACAGTAATGATATAAAAAGGCCAAACAAAAAAACCTCAGCTTCTGCTTTCACTCGTTCTTGTCGAAGTTTTTCTTCTTGCAGAGCTTTTTCCTTTCTTTTAGCATCTTCATAAGCTGCATCACTTCTTATTTTTCTTTCTTCTATTTGAGATCTGACTTCAAGGTCTCTCTGGACAGCAGTCAAGTGATTATTAAGTGCTTCTGCTCTGCAGGTGATTTAATAATTGTAATTATCAATTACATTAACTGGTAAAAAAAGATGAACGGAGATATTACTGAAACCAAGAAAGAATAAATGAAAGTTGAATTAAGCATTCAGATTTTAAGTTCTCCTTCATAAAAAATTTTATATTATGTCCCATAAAAAAAATTCCAAACAAAACTGATCACAAGTAAAGTTATATTCTGGCCAATGTCCAAAAGAAAAAAATAACAATTTTAGTAACAATATATGGATAGACATTTAAAAGACGCTCCAACAGCATTGCAGAACAGAACAGAATCAGAAAGCTTAGAGAGTGATATTAAGACCTGATTATTATTGTTGAAGGGAAAAAAAAAAAAATTCAGAATAGATAGTCCATGAACAGAACTTTTCGGAGTAGGATCTTTCAAATAAGGTACCGTAAGAAATCAAATATTCGATCTTACATATTGCGTTGATATTGAGTATCAAGTTTTCTTTCCATTTCACATCTTTCTTCTCTATATCTCTCAACTCGAAAGATTGCAGAAATAGACTTTTGACTTTCAGTCTTCAGATCTGTCTCTAATGCTGATATTTGGTTCCTGATTTCTTCCTGTTAATCAAGCCAGTTAAAATTTCATTACACCAAGGATGAAAGATCACAAACATAAAACAAATACACACACACACACACACACATATGCATGCGTTGATGCACAGACAACAACATTCACACATATAAAGCATGAGCTTCTCTACTACCTCTAATAACTGAACTAAACCTCGTCTCTATGTTAAAATCTAAACATAAATTGCACCTAATGCATCTCTAACGTAAAATCAACAATTTATCTCCTTGGGTAAGTAGTAACCAAAACAAGTTTTGGGCAAGGAGAAGTAGAGGGTTACCATCAGAAATGAGGGGTAGCTGTTTCAATAGCACAAACAACGAGGGAATGTGTCACACTAAAAATCCACATACCTAAATCTACTGCGTAGAAATAATTCTCAGAAACTAGAATAGATTTTTTTTATATAGAAAAAAGTGAAACAACACCAAGACATCACCAAATCCATTAGCTACACACCTTCACTCTGAACTGATGTTCACGGGATAGCTCGAACAAAATACTTTCCCCTGATTCACCCTTCTCCATCAGGCCGGGTTGGGCTTCAAGAGACAAGTCATCACCAGAGTCATCACTGTCACTGAAAGAGAGAAATGAAACCATATATCATATCGTTAAATATGGATGAAAAAAAATTACTATAACATTGACGCAAAAACTTCAATAAATAGCCAGAAAGACAAGGAGAACATGATATCTTCAATGGTTTATGTCATACTCAGCTTATATGATCAAGTTCACATTTAGATAAGAGAATAAAGGAAGATGACAAAATAAGGGTAGATGTCAAAAAAGGCTTTTGTATGAAGGAACAAAAGTGGGAAATTTAATTGCATACCTGAGATAAAGATCAACAAAATTAAACCGTTTAACTGCCACAGAACTTTGATCATGAGCCTCCTCATCTTCACTGTCAATGTTGTCCATCTCATCTTCGAAGACAGGCACAACAAATGGGCTAGCAGAAGTCCTCCCATTGCTCTTTGAATCGGATATATCTCTAAACAAAGTTGCAAATGGGAAAGCACATGAAAGGAAATAATACTGTTACTCCTTCTTGGAGGGAAAATCACAAACACACACAGGCACAAATGCATACATACCGTGGTCTTTCTTTAGTAAAAGGCACTGAAACCTTAGAAGAGCTGTTGATCTTTCTTTCCAATTCATCTATCTCCGATAGTAGAGCTTCGAAGCTCCAATCAGGCTCAGGGTCAAATGTAATTCCATCAACTTTTTGGGGACAACGAAGCTCCAACTTAAAAGCTCCCCTAAATGCATAAATCCCCCACAAACAATCGCGATTAAATTGTAACATAAAAATCCAAAGATTAAAATAATTCGTAGAGAATAAACTACGTCACGTTATGAACAAATCTTACATTGCCTAATACTCCGACGCAGAGCTCCAAGTATAACAAGCACTGGGTTATAAAACCCTAATCGGCGCCAAATGTGGAAACAAGCCGAATTTTGACGTTGAACTTTGAGAATACAAAATTAACCTGAAGAGTACTTTGAATTGAACCAGCGATCGTAAACGGCTGGTCTTGAGATCGAGAGCGGATGCGGCTAGAACCCGCGAACTATTTTTTCGAATTTCAGGTTGCAGAAACTCAGTTCGCGCGGTCGCATTTGTCTTCGACACTCTAAAATAACAACTTCCACACAGTGGCGTTGAGTTTAGGACCGTTGGAAAGAAGGCAACGTTTCTAGGGTCCTCTCTCTTCTCTGCGGTTAACTTACGCGACATAAACAGATATTGACCCCTGAACTTTTGCAAAAATATCAATGTCCTCCATTTGGAGTTTTACTTTTGCAATATCCCCCTACACGGTGGACCTAAAACTGGGCCCTTGGTGATGTCCATTGCCCTGATCCGTACGATATATTCACTCAACAATTTGATGTGTGCACCCAACATCAATTTTTTATTATACTAAATAAAATATGGACACTGCTTGCTCCTTCTCTGAAAGGAAGCATCCCGCAAATCACAGTTTGACATCCACGTAAAATAATTCATCAAAAATACCAAAAGAAAAATCTCACATGTATGTCAACTTGTGATTGGGGGAGGAAAGTATTTTCCATAAAATATCAAAAAAATGAAAAATCAAAATAAAAACCGAAGACAATTTAAGCTCATTGTTGGTTTGGTTTATTTATATGCTGGGACTGTGGACAGCCTACGTGTAACATAAAGATGATATCTTGAAAGGAATTAAAACATTATAATGTGCATTGCCTTTTAAGGATGCCAAAGCCCAAAAAGTCCAAATGACCATTATTTTATGGCTCCTCGTTCCTTAAGTGAATGGGTTTGGTCTTTACATTTGTTGCTTTTGCCTTTGTTGCTCATACGTGACCTCAATCTATTACTTGGCGTGTTTCCAACATCAACAAAGCCAATAACACATGAAACATGATCAGTGACCAATGCAAAAAGAAACATACCATTCGTCATCCCAAAACTACCCCCCACTTAATCTGGCTAATTAAACTTAAAAATTGTATGTTCTCTTACTCATCTTTTTTTCACTTACACTCCCTTTTTTGTTATAGTAAAAACTATTTAAAAAAAAAAAGGAAGTGTTAGTTGACAAAAGAGAAGTAGGAAAATCACCACCCTTGATAAATCCTACTTCGTTCAATTAAGTCCTAATTAATCATACGCGGAGTCGCTTACGAGTCTCTTAGATTTTAGGGCCCTGTGCAAAATGGGCAATATGACCTCCTAAAACCCATTATAGTAAATTTAGGTTTTAGCCATAAAAAAACTTTCACTTTTGGAAAAAACCAAAACTTTTTCAAAAAAGACAGAAAAACCTCTCAACTTTCAAATCAAAGACATGCAAATATAAATGATTCCTTAGGAAATCCAAAAATAAATAAGGGCAATTTTGTCCATTTTGACTTCTTTTAAAAAATTTCTCTCTCCTTTTGCTTTTTCCAAAGTCTCCCAACAATTAAATCCTAGTATTGTATGCACATTTCCACATATTAAAGTTCAAATACACTTTAACGAATGAATTGTGGAAAACAAGTTTTAATCTTAAAGACTAAGAAAAGAATCTTTATAAATATTATATGGACCTATATCAAGCCAGAACACATCCATATCAATGATCAAAACAAATGATACTAATGGAGTGTTTGTTGGAATCTTTCGAGACTTTGGGGTGCTATCAATTTGTCTTTGAATTCAAGTCTTTATAGTATCCTTGTATGTGAGTTTTTCCCCGACCCTTCTTATGTTTGGCCAAAAATAAAATAAAATATAAACAAATGATGAAAAAAATAATATAACACCACGATCTGTTCTTGATATTATGTACAGTGTTAATACTTTTTTCAAACTTGTCAGTAGCTATAAAGCAAAATAAATGTAAATCCAGTAGAAAGCCTTATTTGTTTTCCCTTATTATTGGATTTTATTTTGTTTTTTTAAAAGCCTTGTAATATTATATATATTATTTGTAGTACATGGGTGTGGTGGGCCTTGAATTAGTACTATATAAATTGAAGATAGTTCCCATAAATTCTCAAAAAATCATCCACAGACGAACAATAATCACAGCACAACAAACCCCAACCATGGTTGCTCATAGCTCTACCCCGATCATCTCATCCTTCTCCTTCCTCGCGATCATCGCTTCTCTTCTCACAGTCGCGGTCTTGCCTGCAACAGTCTCAGCTGTGCCACTCTCCACCAGCTCACGGTGGATCGTCGACGAGAGCGGGCAGCGCGTGAAGCTGGCCTGCGTGAACTGGGTGTCGCATCTCGAACCCGTCGTCGCCGAAGGCCTGAGCAAGCAGCCGGTGGACGCCATCTCCAAACGCATCGCGTCGTTGGGCTTCAACTGCGTCAGGCTGACGTGGCCAACCTTCTTGGCAACCAATGATACGCTGGCATCTGTCACTGTTCGACAGTCGTTTCAGAGCCTCGGCCTCAGCGAATCCATTGCTGGTCTCCAGTCCAACAATCCCTCCATCATCGATCTCACCCTCATACAAGCTTACCAGGTACGTTCGTGCCCCTGATTTTCTCGGGAAACAAACAGAACAAAGGAAAAGAAAGTGTAGACTTTTTAGAATGCCGGAAGGAATCTTCATTTGCATTTCTCTTCATTTTTTTATTTTATTTTCTTAATTCTGCGTGGGCCCCACAAACAGGAGCTTTTCTCCAAGTTAAGTTATACGGCTTACTTATCGATTAGTTTAATTAGGGTAGCCTTAAATGAAGAGCTACAAGATCAACGACTTACACCGTTTACACACCAATCTCTTTTTCCAAGTGTCTAGTTTCAACTCCATCGTTCAATTATCATGCTAGAAAATAATATATTTTTTGTCAGTGACGGGAATAACAAAGAGTAATTCTTTAATTAAAAAAGAAAATCAACTAAGGTTCATCAGTTAATTACACAGTAACCACCGGCCTTAATTGTATCTTATAAGCCAGCCACCATTATAGTTGCCCTTTCACATCAGTTTTTCTGCTTTCACACACCAATAGAATTTTAGGGGGTCCACCTAACAATTACACATCAATTGTTAGAGCCTGCTAAATCCGTCCACCATGCAAAAAAATAAAGAATAAAAAATGCTTTCACACGACAGTTTTAGATTTTTTTTTCCCCATACAAGTGATATGAGAATGAAAAATTCAAGCACACAGACTTTAGGTACAGGTAACTGTCCGTAACCATTTGAGCGGCAAGCCCTTTCCGACAGCTTAAATTTTTTTTAGTAGCTTCTTATCAGCTTAGAAATGATTAACAGGCTTTTTAAGAATGATACTATATTGCTATATAAAGAAAGAATGATGTTTTATTATTGTGGGGTTTATTAAGTTAAAGCAAAGGATAATGAGTGACTATTATTTATTTATTTTCACTTGTAGGCGGTGGTATCTAGCCTTGGGAAGAACAATGTGATGGTTATACTGGACAATCAAGTAAGCAAGCCTGGTTGGTGCTGCAGCAGCTCTGATGGCAATGGTTTCTTTGGCGACCAGTACTTCAATCCTGACATTTGGATCAAGGGCCTTACTCGGATGGCCACATTGTTCAAAGGCGTGGCCAATGTGGTGGGCATGAGCTTGAGGAACGAGCTGAGAGGCCCCAAACAGAATGTTGACGATTGGTACAAGTAAGTGCCATTTCATTCCAAGTTGTAAATGCATCCAACCCAATAAAACGTGTAGAGGGCTTGATGGGTGGGCTAAGCTAAATACAGGGTTTAATAGCATAAATGGGCATAGTCTCAGGCCCAGTTACATGGGAACCCACCATGAATGCCAGTTGGCCAGAGCAATGTGCCTGCTTCCTGCACCAAGTTCAAATCTCCCTCTCCTTAGATTAGATTAGTTTAGATTAGTTTTAGACTATGACTTGTATCAACAAAAAGAAAAATTAAAGGTAAATTAATTAATTATAGTATTCGTTGTGAACTATGTGTGGTAGGTACATGCAAAGAGGAGCTGAGGCAGTGCACTCAGCAAACCCAGATGTGCTTGTGATTCTCTCTGGCCTGAGTTATGACAAAGACTTATCTTTCCTTGCCGACCGGCCAGTGAGCCTCACATTTTCTGGGAAAACAGTATATGAGGTGCATTGGTATGGGTTTTCAGATGGGCAGGCATGGAAGAGTGGCAACCCTAACCAAGTGTGTGGGTCAGTTGTAAATAACATGAAGAGACAATCAGGGTTTTTGCTGGAAAAAGGGTTCCCATTGTTTGTGAGCGAGTTTGGGGTGGACCAGAGGGGCACCAATGTGAATGACAATAGGTACCTAAACTGCTTCATGGCTACTGCAGCTGAACTTGATGTGGATTTTGCTCTCTGGACTTTGGATGGGAGTTATTATTTGAAGGATGGGGTCCTCGGAATGAATGAGTATTATGGAGTCTTGAACTGGGATTGGAGTGATGTCAGGAATTCAAGCTTATCTCAGAGACTCTCTGTTCTTCAATCTCCTTTCCAAGGTATAGCGTGCTTCGATTTCTTTGTTGTGATTTCAAACGGTTCATCAACGGTCAGAAATCCCACATGCCCACATATGGCACAGCTCTTTCTTTGTTTTATTGAAGAGATTCAAATCATATACTTCATATAATTTTTTTTTTCAGGCTGTAAGATTAATAATGTGTTTGTTGTTTGCAGGTCCAGGCTTATCTCAATCCAGGCTGCATAAAATTATTTTCCATCCAGCTACGGGCCTCTGCCTCCTAAAAGTTGGATGGCTTGGGCCATTGAAGTTAGGTTCATGCTCTCAATCTGGAGCCTGGAGCTATTCATCCAAGAAGATCCTAACTCTTAAAGGAACGTATTTCTGCATACAAGTTGATGAACTGGAGAAGCCAGCACAAGTTGGGATTATTTGCACGACCCCTAATTCACAATGGGATACCATTTCAGATTCTGGGTTGCATCTTTCATCTAAGACATTGGATGGTACTGATGTTTGCCTAGATGTAGACTCCAGCAACACCATTGTCACAAGTTCCTGCAAATGCTTAGGCAGAGATAGTTCGTGCGACCCCGAAAGCCAGTGGTTCAAACTTGTCGATAGCACAATAACTTCAACGTCTTCAAGCCCCATATTCTAGATCAACTCAGTAGCAGATATGCTTGGGATGAAGATCACGACTAACTATTTAGTGAAGCAAAGAAAGGGACTGGTGCGCTCAAGAAATAAAAATTTAGGTGCCTTAATATGTCCATGCATGTCAAAAGCCGCATGTATTTGTATAGAAATAAAGTATTTGTTCAACCTGGGCTGTTGTGTAAAATTATGTAGTTTTATTAGACCATGTAAAAATTGATAAATGCAAACCTAATATTATTTGGTAGAAAAGGAAATTAATGTAATTCTAAAGTCAGGGCTCACACACTACATATCAAAGAAAGAAAGATCATGTCTGCATGTCTCCAATTCATGTCACCTGTTGTGTATTGTGTTTCCTAGGATGAGAAATTAATGAATAAAAGCTTAATAAGTTATTAATTAAGCCAGTCTGCCATGGTTGCATTATTAATATTTGAGTTTAGTACAGCTAGGATATTAAACACGACCAAGAAATCTTGTAGTAACCATGGATTCATGGTCCTACCTACCCTGAGGAACTTTACCATATCAATTTTATTCCTGGACCTTGCCAGTTGCCAAAAAAGGCTGCTCTGCTCCATTATCCATTAGACAGTACTAGTGAGCAACCTAGGCTTGAGAGTCACAAGCAACCCATTCTGCATGTAAAGTGTGGTGGTCAATTTTGGAACAACATTATGACCTTCAACAACCTTAACCTCATACCTCAATAGGATAGCAGCAGCCACCATCTTCATCTGCATGTAAGCAAACTTCTTCCCCACACACAACCTTGGACCCCCGTTAAACACGGGGTATTTGAATTGATTCTCACTCACAAACACCCCATCTTTAATCCATCTTTCAGGCCTAAACTCCAAGCAATCTTGTCCCCATATCGACTCAATTCGGGCCATCGAGAACATGGAGTAGAGAACCCCACCTCCCTTTTTCACCACGGTACCATCAGGGAACACATCATCTTCCACAACCTCTTTGATGTCAATTGGCACTGCTGGGTAGAGCCTCAGCGATTCTGACAATGCTGCTTGTAGATACACCATGTTCTTTAGTTCTTCCACTGTAAAAATTGCATCATGACCAGCTGGTTCTTTAATATTACTGCATTGGCGCCGCTGGCCTAAAATTTCATTCATCTCTTTGAGGATTTTGTTTTCCACTTCTGGGGTTTTTTGCACTAACCAAAAAAACCATGCCAATGCAACAGAGCTTGTGTCCCTCCCAGCTAAAATAAAACTTATGCAGAAATCTACCAGAAACTTATTCGAAAAGCGCTTTTGGGTGCCTTGTCCTTCCGGGTTTTGATCAGTGTATTCCATGAGCCTTGACAAGAGATCAGAACGATCATTTAACCCGCCAAGCCTAACCAATTCATTCCTTCTCTCTGTCACTGCCTTCTCAGCAAACTCATGCACAATTCGAACTGATTCTTTGAGCCTCTTCTCGTATCCCATTTCGAAACGCTTCATGGGCTTCCACACAAAAGGCGGCAACATGAATCTGAAGAGAGTCAATTCGGTAGCTTCTTCAAAGGCTTTGGCAAAAGGAATTTGGGGAAAGTCAAGAGCCAAGCACCCTGGATCAACACCAAGAGCTGCAGTGCAAATGTTGTCAAAAGTAAACCGAAGAAGCACTTCTTGGAGATCAATAACACTGTTTCTAGAATTCACCACGTCGTCCATCAACTTCAACAGCTTTTCGTGCACCAAAACCTGCATGGACAAAAAAGAGTGCTCCACAAACCGGCTCGAATGCATCTCTGTAGTTGCTACTCTTCTCTGCTCCTTCCACATTTGATCGTCTGCATTGAAAATGCCATCCCCAAGCAAATCATGGAACCTCTCCCTGTAGCGTTGGCCTTTTGGGAAGTTGTTGAACCTTGTTTTGAGCATGTACTCAAGTTTGGAAGGATCAATGGTTATGATCCCATGTGCCCCACCAAACCACATTCCTCTGAAGTAGAAAGTGCCCCCTGCTCTGATCAGAGCCACGGTTGCCCAATCATACATGCTGTTTACATTGAGAAAAACTGAAGGCATAATCCCCAGGACTGGCCATAGCATTGGGCCCTTGTTGGTGAATCTCTCAAGCAAGCAGCTAATTATGAACAGAACCAACAAGGCAATAGCCACATCCCAGAAACCGACCAAGTTCAGAATTGCAGAGAAAGAAAGCAAGTTCGTCATTATTTGTATGAGTACTTTGATTATTAGCAGAGTTAAATAGTGAAGGATGAGAAGAGTATCAGAAATGAAGTTTCAATGGTCGTCAGCTTCATTGATATGAAAAAGGAACAAATTTAATTAATGATGCCACCTGCTTTTTTGACTCACATGCAGAGATTAAATAAGCTGTTTTCTTGGCAAAGAAACATTGGGCGTTCTGCGCTTAGTTGTTTATATAAACTACAATTATAAACACTAACATGTTCATGAAGGGACTTCATAAATTAGCAGGGGATAAAGTGGGGTTAGAAGTTGAGGTATTAAAAGAGATGAGTTGGATAGAAATGAAGGCGAACTAACCATATGTTTTAAATGTACAGTATTCAAAATCCTCTGCTTTACCAACTACTCCTTGGAATCATCTCACCAGGATTTTTTGTTTTTGGTCAACAATACCAATATGCCCACGCCAGTCTTTGAATCCTCTCATGTCCTTTCCCCAGCCAATTGATAATTTTTTTTTATTTTTTTATTTTTTTTTTGGTTTTTGGTTTTGGTTTTCTCTGGCTGAGTTCTCAACTTTATCTGCTCCAGCCTCCATTGATTTCTAAGGCATTATTAACCTTAAAAATATAAACCCTACTAGGATTGTTCCCAAAACGGCTTTATCTCAAAGACCCAATCTAACAAAATCTCTCAGATTAATAAGTGACGGATAAAATAAAAGGGTCGTAAATTTGATATACATTGTTGACCTATTTTCTTAATAGCTTATGTTTTTTAGATGAGTAGCTGTCTAACAAAGGACTCTGGACGTGCATAGAATTTTTGTCCCTGCACTGCTGGTACTTCAAGTTCAACCTGAGAATGGCATATCATTATAGCTGGAAACGAATAAAATGTGCTAACTAAACATAAAGATGAGAAAACCCCTGCTCTTGATTTCGATTATTTAAGCCATTCAGCTGTTTTTTCATATCCCAATCAGCTGCTTGTTCAATCCTTAGATTGGACCTGTTTGCTTTCCTAACACTAGGGTTTAGATTTTTGAATTGCCATGGGATGTCACCGTATGGCACACACATAAGAAATCAATTGACTTAAGACTAAAGATACTAACAATTATTGACGTAAGAAATTGTCATATATATCGTGTGTTACGTCAGTTGATAATTAAAAGTTAGGATAATAATTGATGACTCTAGTATTATTGTTGAATTGATATTTTATTTTTGTTACTTTTTTCTATTCTTCATTGTTTTTCTTCTGGAATAAAATATGTACCCTAACTCAAATACCAATTTTCAAAGGGACATTTTGGAAAAAGCAAAAGGAGAGAGAAAAATTTTAAAAGAAGCAAAAATGGACAAAAATGCCCTTATTTATTTTTAGATTTCCTAAGGAATCCAATACATTTGCATGTCTTTGATTTGAAAGTTGAGTGATTTTTTTGTCTTTTTAAAAAAAGTTTTGACTTTTTCCAAAAGTGAAAAAAAATTTATGTCTAAAACCTAAAAAACCTATTTTTTTTTCAAAGCACTAAGGACTAGAGAGACACCGCTCATCTTTTGTAGAATTTTCCTAATGCAAAAAGTGCCCACCAAAAGCGTTTATCTCAAATCAAAGACTGAAAATCTGGCAAAATCTCTTTAGATTAGTAATTAATGGGAAAAAGGGCCCCCAGCATTGGATATCTGGACTCTTTTTATTGGTCACTAAGAGCAACTCCACCCATATTGCCCTTAGCCATGGCAAGGGGGGAGGTAGGGGAGCCACCAT